AAAAAAAAAAAAAAAAAAAAAAAAAAAAAAAAAAAAAAAAAAAAAAAAAAAAAAAAAAGAACAGGGAGATGGAACAAAGAGAGAGAGAGAGAGAGACTTACCGAGGGGGTGGGGCAGATCGGACAGCATTTTCCCGGGGGCGGTGGCAGGGGATTGCCGCAGGCGACCGCGCAGATGGTCTCGTTGCAGAAGATCCGGCCGCCGGGCTCGCAGGAACAGCTACGGCAGTAGTCGGTGCGCCAGCGCGCTCCCTCGAGATGTGTCACGTTGCGCTCGTCCAGGCAGCTGTCCAGGCACCGGCAGGTCTACCCGAACCAAAAAACAAGAGCTATGATTCATCGCACAACCGCTTGGTAAAAACATTGCGCTCTCTTTGCATATATACAATATAGCGCCATCGAAGGAGGAAAATTATCCGCCACAAAGGCGCGCGCATCGTCAAAGCGTCTCCTCGTGGCGACAAAAAGATGGCTTAAATCAGGCCTCACCCAAATACAAGGTGCACGTACACGGGAGTGAGCAAAAAGAGCCTTTGTGCACGAGCTCTTTGTAGAGCGGACAAGCAGCCGTGTATATGTATAGATTATCTTACCGGGCAGCCGAGCTCGTCCATGGTAAAGCCTTGCGGGCACTCGAGGTCGCAGTCAATGATGGCCGGACAGTCGGGGCGCGGCCTGCACTGGCAAAACACGCAGCCCCTCGAGTCCATGAGGAAGCCCCACTGGCAGCTGAGGTTGCACGACTGCTGCGACTCGGGACACTCGTCGTCCTCGTCGAGCCCGTCCTCATCCTCCTCATCGTCCTCCTCGTCATCGTCATCCTCCTCCATCACCTCGTTCTGCAACGGCCAACACATTTTTAACCAACCCCTCTCTCTCTCTCTCTCTCCATCTCTATTTGTTTCATTTACAATAATTAACAAAGACGACATTTTATAAGGGTTGGGAGGTTTGTTGTTGGATGCTTTTGCTCTGCAGCGTAACGCGAGCACCGCTGAATCTTCGAATGAATTAAACATCATTAGAAGTGCAAAGTTCGAGGAGCGAGTTTTTCGGCGCATAATTAGGTATATATGCATATACGCACAGAGATGTTGTCGCGAGGGATTTGGGGAGAACTCAAAAGGGGGGGGGGGGGGCGACAAAAAACGACGAACCTGTTCGACGGGTGTCCTGCACTTGCAGGTGGTGCAGCCGTTATCGTCGACGGCGAGTCCCAGCTCGCCGCAGTCGAGGAGCTTGCAGGTCTCGGCGAGATTTGGACAGGAGGTGGTGGCGCATCGTGGACAGCACTCCCCCGGGGCACGGGGTAGCGATCGCTCGCACGACCGGCACATGGTCGCGTGGCAGGACTTGCGCCCGTCCTCGCATTGGCAGCTCGTGCAGGGGTCCAGCTCGTGCCACGTGTCTCCGTTGTCGCGCGGCTGGCCCCGACCGTCGAAGCACTGCGTCGCTTTGTCGTCGGGCTCGTAGCTCAGCGTCACTGATTATTATTCATTGTTTTTATACGATATTTACTCAATCATATAAACCTTACAAACACACTTGCACTTTTGCCAACAATCGTATACCTTATTGTCTTGGTTTTTAATACGAGATAAATCGCTCATGTCTTTAATATTGGGCAAGGTAATTGCACAAGGGTTCTATATACCTTAAAAAAAAAAAGACTTTTTTACTGTGCGTGGCAATAACGATTTGTACAGGCACAGTTGAGTGTGATTTGTAGGAAAATTTGA